TAGGTAACAGGGGCATTCAGGGTGAAAGAAACTTTGCCCATTTGTTTCTGCCTCGTGCGGGAATCGAACCCGCGCCACAGAATTAAGAGTCCTGCGCGCTATCCACCAGGCTACGAGGCCCCCCTACGAGCCTTCTGGATAGAATTTTCACATTCAATTCGAATCAATTCAATTCTCTTTTGCTGGAGAGTGATGTTGCTCTCTCTGTGAGTTTAAAATATTCTCTTTTATCAAAAACCTTCACCTCTTTCCTCTGATTTATTTGCACTTTAGCCTCTTTTATTTTCGTTATCTTTCATTTAATACAACAGGCATTTAAACGAAAATTATTTAATTTAATACAACAGGCATTTAAACGAAAATTATTTGATATATAATGTTTTGTTATAAATTAGTTCTATGTATTTATGTGGCACTTGTTATTACTAAGATGATTGAGTTATAGGTATGAGCAAAAATGATTCTGTTCCTATAATCCTTAGCATGAGATAAGGTCAGTCTTGAAGTCTAGGTTCTTGTACCATCAAGAACCAGCTGCCTCTGTTCTTGTGCCAGCTGAGGTTCCGGGTTCGATCCCCGGTGGAGGCGGAGACAAATGGACAAACCGTTTCACCCTGATACACCTGTTACCTAGCAGTAAATAGGTACCTGGGAGTTAGACAGCTGCTACAAGCTGCTTCCTGGGGGATGTGTAACAAAAAGGAGGCCTGATCGAGGACCGGGCCGCGGGGACGCTAAACCCCGAAATTCTCTCAAGATAACCTCAAGATAACCTCCCCTTAAACGACCACAAGCATCACCACCACCATTTAAACCACAGCTGTTAACCACACCTCAACCAATACAATTAAAACACCCACCACCATTACAATTGCTTCAACCACTATTCATATACACAAAACACCATCCCACCTGCAAACTAGAAACCAACATAAGGGAGGATCGACTGGGCACCAATCCTAAACAGCTCGCCCTTGTCCACCCAGCAGAAACTGGAGACCTGGAGGGATTGGCGATTCGTATTCCAGGAAAAGCTGGTTAGGTCAGGCTTACCATGAGCTTTGTGGAGAGGGGGTTTGACCTCTGACCTCTAACAAGAGTCAGAGGTCAAAATTCGCCTCTACCACAATCGCTTCAATCACCACAACCCAACCACAAATGCAGCTACCTACACTACAACATTAGTCATTCGTATGTCATTAACGTTCAGCTTCTACAACCATATCAACCACCATTGTTACCACAACTACAACTACTAACCCTCAACTACCACCACCACCACCACCATTACCTCTAACGACACAACTACCCCCAATAACATATTAATTACAGTACGAACACTTCAACTACCATTATCAATACACCTACCTACCTTCCACCCTACAACAATTACAACCCCACCACTACAACATCAACCATCACCAATACAATCACCAATACAATCACCTACACAACATTCAACCTCATGAACCACAACCATGAACCTTAAAGTGAATTTGTTCTATTTTCACAGTTATCAGTACTTTCACAATCGACTTGAGAATGGTCCAGGACGGACTGAAACGTCGTCGTCCCTTCACATTCTAGTGTGTGGTCTGGTCAACATTTCACAGCTATCGTTGGCTTAATCCTCCTCTTATCCGGTCAGCCCCGCAAACCGAACTTGGGGTTGAGCTCGGGCAAGCGGCAACCAGTCCTCGATCTGTGATTGTCCAAGCAGCTACTGACTCCGAAGATACACATATTAAGAATTAAAAATCAATTTTTTCTCACGTGTAAATTAACACAATTACATATTAAAATTTGGTGTGTAGTTAGCCCTAAATTGGGCGAGGTTAGGTGCTTAGGTTCAGTTGGTAATTACTGACGTTTGTGTTACGTGGGAGCGAAGGACGTGAGCAAAGTACTTTTCGAGAAAAGTACTTTTTTCAGAAAAGTACTTTTTCAGAAAAGTGCATTTCAGAAAAGTGTGTTTCAGAAAAGTACTTTTCGAGAAAAGTACTTTTTCAGAAAAGTACTTTAAGAAAAGTGCTTTTCAGAAAAGTACTTTTTCAGAAAAGTGCGTTTCAGAAAAGTACTTTTTTCAGAAAAGTACTTTTTTCAGAAAAGTACTTTTTTCGGAAAAGTATTTTTTCAGAAAAGTACTTTTTTCAGAAAAGTGCTTTTCAGAAAAGTGCTTTTCAGAAAAGTACTTTTTTCAGAAAAGTGCTTTTCAGAAAAGTACTTTTTTCGGAAAAGTATTTTTTCGGAAAAGTATTTTTTTAAGAATAGCACTTTTTTTCAGAAAAGTCATACATCAGTTATGAATCGTGAGTAAAGCGTCTCTCTCACTCATAAACAGTGAGACTGATGAGTCGTTTGATGGTCCTGTTACCAAACAATTCACGAGTAAAACAATTTACACTCGAATTGTGACATTTGTTTACAAGGACTGACTGTAGCATCATTCAACAGTTAACTCATCCACCAGTTAAGTACAGCCAGTTAATTTACAGGAAAACAAGAAATTAACGTTTATAAACGATGTTTAAATTCTCTTTTTACCCCTTGTTGTGAAGAGAGGGTTAAAAAGAGAATTATATCTGACGATATAATTTATTTAAGGTCTTTGGAGGCGGGCACGCATGCGCGTTTGAGAGCGCGGGTGAGATAGAAAGAGAATTAATTTAAATCTATTCATTGTGGGGGGGGATTTTTGGCGCTTCGGTTGACGCTGGCTGCCGCATACTCGACACTTGCTAAATTATCAATTTACGCTTGACGGCCGCATGCGGGAGGCAGTTATGTACACAAAGGTAATTGTGTGTGTGCTATTGGACCTGAGCAAAGGGAGGGGGGGGGGGTTTGAGTGTGTGTGTGTGTACTCACCTAGTTGTACTCACCTAGTTGTGCTTGCGGGGGTTGAGCTCTGGCTCTTTGGTCCCGCCTCTCAACCGTCAATCAACAGGTGCACAGGTTCCTGAGCCTATTGGGCTCTATCATATCTACACTTGAAACTGTGTATGGAGTCAGCCTCCACCACATTGCTTCCTAATGCATTCCATTTGTCAACCACTCTCACACTAAAAAAGTTCTTTCTAATATCTCTGTGGCTCATTTGGGCACTCAGTTTCCACCTGTGTCCCCTAGTGCGTGTGCCCCTTGTGTTAAATAGCCTATCTTTATCAACCCTGTCGATTCCCTTGAGAATCTTGAATGTGGTGATCATGTCCCCCCTAACTCTTCTGTCTTCCAACGAAGTGAGGTTCAATTCCCGTAGTCTCTCCGTAGTCTGTGTGTGTGTGTGTGTGTGTGTGTGTGTGTGTGTGTGTGTGTGTGTGTGTGTGTGTGTGTGTGTGTGTACTCACCTACTCACCTATTTGTGCTTGCGATGGTTGAGCTCTGGCTCTTTGGTCCCGCCTCTCAACTGTCAATCAACTGGTGTACAGATTCCTGAGCCTACTGGGTTCTATCATATCCTCTGTGTGTGTGTGTGTGTGTGTGTGTGTGTGTGTGTGTGTGTTATCGTCCAGGGAAACGATTTGATTGATCAAATGATTTGATTTGACTGACCAACTACTGGAATAAGAGTTATAGGTGATTCAACCCATTCTATTCCTCTCGCTGGGTCTTATCCACACAAGGTAATCACACTAGCATTCCTTCGTCAGTCTCAGGAGACTATGGAGTTGGGCTCTGGTTGTCGGTCTGGAGTGGCCTCTCCAGGGCGCAAAGCCAGGGTAGGTTGATATGGAGAAGCTGTTACCCATGCAGCAGGTCCCCCCTTCCCTTGCTTGGCACGGCTTATCATCATAGTATTAGAGAACCTTTCCAGTCTTCCCATGTCCCTAACAGCAAACTGGCTGTTAAACCAGCTGTCGAACCCCTGTTTAAGAATGAAATAAGCACAAGACGTTCAAGCTTTTCTTGAACCTAATCGGTCATTACGTTCTAAGGGTAAAGACTCGAACCAGCGATCTTAGTATTCCCAGCCCTACATCTTGCCCCTATACGACGATATGGTATAAGTTGGTCACCCTAGGATTCCTTTTTCACAGGAAAAAGATAAGATTCAGTAAGAGGCTGATTCAGATTCAGATAGATAAGATTCAATAAGAGGCTGATTCAGATTCAGATAGATAAGATTCAGTAAGAGGCTGAGAGCCTCTTACTGAATCTTATCTAAGTTTTACATGCACTCTTCATGCACTCTGTAGTAAGTAAAGAAGTTCTTCAAACGCTTCAGCTTCAAATACACTAAGAAATCAGACTACATAAGAGTGTAAGGGGGGGTGGGAGAGGATGTAAAACCTGTACTGACTTCAGTAAAAGCCTACGGACTTCGTGTGCATTCAGTGAAGTCCCAGGTCGTGTATCTTCATATGTGGTACAGGAGTAAATGTTACAAGGACTCCAGTTCGCTGGTTCGAATCCCCACTCATTGTTCTAATTCATTTTCTCATATAAATCCCGTTAGTGTGGTTTTGTGTGAATAATTATTAGCATATTATTAGTAACATTATTATTAACATTAACTTCATGTCAGTTATTCATATTAAACATACTGAGAAAATTATGAAAATAAAGGTTCAATATAAGTTTTTGTATGAAATTCCTTTATTTAGGTTCGTTAAGAGCAGAAAGAGAATGTTGGCCACTGAATATTCCTGTTAATTTGCATATAAAAGGGAACTGTTTGGAGACATGACAAGACTGTAAGACTGAAATTTGGTAGAGAGAGAGAGAGAGAGAAAGGGAATTGTCATGGGAAAGCATCAAGGCATTACGACAATATAGCACTGGGAAGGGGTTAGAATAATGCTTTGAGATGGGATGGGGGGAAAAGGAATGCTGCCCAACCACTTGTGGATGCTCGGGGACTGAACGCCGACCTGCATGAAGCGAAACCGTAGCTCTACCGTCCACCCCCAAGTGGTTGGGCAGAGAGAGAGAGAGAGAGAGAGAGAGAGAGAGAGAGAGAGAAACAGTGATTAAAACAAAACATTGAGAAAATGACGTACCAATGACAGTAAGATTGACTCTGGTCGTCTTGGTTGGGTGGAGACGGAAGTCGACGCGACAAGTATACAGCCCCTGATCTTGCTTCGTCAGTCCCACCACCCGCAGCATCGCCGGTGAAGAAGTTGTCTCCAGCATCGCTCGTCTCCCCAGTTGTGTTTCGTCCGACCAGTGGGTCTGCTCGTCCGAGCGCTCGTCTAGCCTGAAAGCGGAAAAAAAAATTCCGTGTGTGACGGGTCAATAATTTCCTGCAGGCAAGCTAACATAGCTTTGCCGGCTGCAAATATTTTGTTTTTACATGTTTCTCTGGTTGTCCGGAAAGCTGTTGACAATGTTGTAAATATCAAACCGCTGGGTTTCCTGCCTCCAGGCTTGCCTGTCAGGCTTGGTGCTGATGCCTCCAGGCTTGCCTGTCAGGCTTGGTGTTGGTGCCTCCAGGCTTGCCTGTCAGGTTTGGTGTTGATGCTTCCAGGCTTGCCTGTCAGGCTTGGTGTTGATGCTTCCAGGCTTGCCTGTCAAGGCCCCTAGACCTAGGCCCCTTGGTGTTGATGCTTCCAGGCTTGCCTGTCAGGTTTGGTGTTGATGCTTCCAGGCTTGCCTGTCAGGTTTAGTGTTGATGCTTCCAGGCCTGTCAGGCTTGGTGTTGATGCTTCCAGGCTTGCCTGTCAGGCTTGGTGTTGGTGCCTCCAGGCTTGCCTGTCAGGTTTGGTGTTGATGCCTCCAGGCTTGCCTGTCAGGCTTGGTGTTGATGCTTCCAGGCTTGCCTGTCAGGCTTGGTGTTGATGTCTCCAGGCTTGCCTATCAGGCTTGGTGTTGATGCTTCCAGGCTTGCCTGTCAGGCTTGGTGTTGATGTCTCCAGGCTTGCCTATCAGGCTTGGTGTTGATGCCTCCAGGCCTGTCAGGCTTGGTGCTGATGCCTCCAGGCCTGTCAGGCTTGGTGTTGATGCCTCCGGGCTTGCCTGTCAGGCTTGGTGTTGATGCCTCCAGGCCTGTCTATCAGGCTTGGTGTTGATGCCTCCAGGCTTGCCTGTCAGGCTTCGTGTTGATGCCTCCAGGCTTGTCAGGCTTGGTGCTGATGCCTCCAGGCCTGTCAGGCTTGGTGCTGATGCCTCCAGGCTTGCCTGTCAGGCTTGGTGTTGATGCCTCCAGGCTTGCCTGTCAGGCTTGGTGCTGATGCCTCCAGGCTTGCCTGTCAGGCTTGGTGCTGATGCCTCCAGACTTGCCTGTCAGGCTTGGTGCTGATGCCTCCAGGCTTGCCTGTCAGGTTTGGTGTTGATGCCTCCATGCTTGCCTGTCAGGCTTGGTGTTGATGCCTCCAGGCTTGCCTGTCAGGTTTGGTGTTGATGCCTCCAGGCTTGCCTGTCAGGCTTGGTGCTGATGCCTCCAGGCTTGCCTGTCAGGCTTGGTGTTGATGCCTCCAGGCTTGCCTGTCAGGCTTAGTGTTGATGCCTCCAGGCTTGCCTGTCAGGCTTGGTGCTGATGCCTCCAGGCTTGCCTGTCAGGCTTGGTGTTGATGCCTCCAGGCTTGCCTGTCAGGCTTGGTGTTGATGCCTCCAGGCTTGCCTGTCAGGTTTGGTGTTGATGCCTCCAGGCTTGCCTGTCAGGCTTGGTGTTGATGTCTCCAGGCTTGCCTATCAGGCTTGGTGTTGATGCTTCCAGGCTTGCCTGTCAGGCTTGGTGTTGATGTCTCCAGGCTTGCCTGTCAGGCTTGGTGTTGATGCCTCCAGGCTTGCCTGTCAGGCTTGGTGTTGATGCCTCCAGGCTTGCCTGTCAGGCTTGGTGCTGATGCCTCCAGGCTTGCCTGTCAGGTTTGGTGTTGATGCCTCCAGGCTTGCCTGTCAGGCTTGGTGTTGATGCCTCCAGGCTTGCCTGTCAGGCTTGGTGTTGATGCCTCCAGGCTTGCCTGTCAGGCTTGGTGTTGATGCCTCCAGGCTTGCCTGTCAGGCTTGGTGTTGATGCCTCCAGGCTTGCCTGTCAGGCTTGGTGTTGATGCCTCCAGGCTTGCCTGTCAAGCTTGGTGTTGATGCTTCCAGGCTTGCCTGTCAGGCTTGGTGTTGATGCTTCCAGGCTTTCCTGTCAGGCTTGGTGTTGATGCTTCCAGGCTTGCCTGTCAGGCTTGGTGTTGATGCTTCCAGGCTTGCCTGTCAGGCTTGGTGTTGATGCTTCCAGGCTTGCCTGTCAGGCTTGGTGTTGATGCTTCCAGGCTTGCCTGTCAGGCTTGGTGTTGATGCCTCCAGACTTGCCTGTCAGGCTTGGTGCTGATGCCTCCAGGCTTGCCTGTCAGGCTTGGTGCTGACGCCTCTATCTGTCCTTATCACCCGTTTCTGCCTGAAAAGTCTAATATACAAATAGTTATTAGTGAACAAATCCACAAGGGCCGTGATGAAGGTTCGAACCTATATGCCTGATGTTCCCGGGACACTATTTCCTTGTTAACCAATTTACCATAAGGAACATAAATTGGTTAAAGAGATGACCAAGTAGCAGGCATCCATCAGTCTCAGGAGACTATGGAGTTGCGCTCTGATTGTCGGTCTGGAGTGGCCTCTCCAGGGTGAAAATCCAGGGTTAGTTGATACTGGGGAGAAGCTGTTACCCATGCAGCAGGTGTATTAAGCCAGGTATCCCAGTCGTAGGAAAACAGGGAACACCATACAATTGATTTATCATTGGAAGGTTCAATACTCTCTCCTCAAGCCGATATATACAAGCAAGCATTGTACAAACACAAGCTTTAAGCTGCCTTAAGCTTTGGGACGTGCCACGCTGAAGCTGTCAGGCATAAAAGAGAGTTTTTCAAAGTTAGGTAAAATACGTTTAAGTGATATATTTTGGTCTGAAAGAATATAGCGTTTTATTGAAGGCGATTTTGTATTTAATTTTAAAACAATGTCTCTAAATTATTTTCATTTAGGGATGTGGCGATCCCATCAGCTTGCAAATAGGGGGATACAAAAAGCTCCCCATTCTCAGTATTGCAGGGAAATAGGGCAGAGATAGAATTGTCAGGGGAAAGCACCAAGCCATTACGACTATATAGCACTGGGAAGGGGGGTCAGAATAAGGATTTGGGATGGGACGGGGGGAAAGGAATGGTGCCCAACCGCTTACTGGACAGTAAATACATCGAAAAAAAAGAGTAGTTATAAGGAAGAGAGACTAATAGGCACAAGAGGAGTGATGCGAAAATTATTTGTAAGCTGAATTATAGAGTAATTATCTATAATTCTATATAAAGTCTTATGGATTTAATATAAAAAAGATTGTCGCATCGGTACGGAATTTTAATTGCAATGTGTTATTTAAATTGGAAATGTATAGGAGACCCTCAGAAATATACAATGAGGTGTATAATGATTGCAAAGTGTAGAATGTGTATAATGAAAGATATCTTAATCACAAATGCATTTATTCTGAACAAAGATATCAAACAAACTATTCCTAGCGTCACATTAATTTTGAAAGGCGAAAGGATATATTCCTGACATATAAGATTTGTAGAGGATTATCTGGATGAATTCTTCATCATATAAGTGTGGCTTTTAAGATACGATCATTCAGCTCTTATCTGTTAGAGTATCATTTGTAATTGGGTGTTTGTCTCTCTCAGGGATGTAAGTTGTTAAATGTTAAAACATATTAAGTTTATTGAAAGCTGGCAGTAATTGAGAAGCAAAATATTGCAAAGAATGTGTTTGAAATGCTTGCAGAAGCAAGCGAGAATTGACTGGATAGGAATAAGATTGACCTGTGTTTCATTAAGTGATTTATAAGTTTGAGTGAATGTATTATGGTGATTGTGAAGAAAGCTTGAGTGAATGCACTGTACTGATTGTGAAGAAAGCTTGAGTGAATGCACTGTACTGATTGTGAAGAAAGCTTGAGTGAATGCACTGTACTGATTGTGAAGAAAGCTTGAGTGAATGCACTGTACTGATTGTGAAGAAAGCTTGAGTGAATGCACTGTACTGATTGTGAAGAAAGCTTGAGTGAATGCACTGTACTGATTGTGAAGAAAGCTTGAGTGAATGCACTTTGTTGACCGAAACGTCGTCGTCCCTCCACCTTCTAGTGTGTGGTCTGGTCAACATACTTTAGCCACGTTATTGTGACTCATCGCCTACGTATATTAAAATGTTTGAATCAATGTTAAGTGTTCCCAGTATCATAACATTTTAGAAGAATGAGAGGAACAGTTTGGTGGGATGAGAAGGTAATATTAAAGAATTAATGAAAAGAAAATGCATAGATTTTATGAATATAAAATGAACGAAAGAGAGGGGAGGAAAAATTGGAAACATGATGAGAGGAAAAGGTCTGTGAAAATTTTGTAAACAGAGAACAAAAGAGGAGACAAGGAAAAATATAATATAATTTATTCTGAAAACAGGATGTTTTTTCGTAAATAGGAAATTGTAACGAGAAGATTTGTATATGGATTAATGGGAACGTTCAATTAGAATGATAATTGATGAAGAGGAGATTAAAAGAAAATATCTTGACAATTCTAATGCAGAAATTTTCAAACTTTCTCAGCTTCCAGCACATTGAACAAGATGCAGAAATTTTTAAGACACCATAATTTTTAAGGAGACTGTTTTCAATATATATATTAAAAACAGTATTAAGATTGTGTTTAAAAGTTCAATTAGTAAAATTTAAATCATAGTTTGTGTTAATAATATTCATAGATTTTTAAATATTTGTTTTGAAATCCAAATGAACCCTTGTCGCAACTCACCAAAGTACATATGTATTTGTATGTATATATGTATGTATAAATATAAGTATATCCTATCTGACTCTACCCATTGCTCTTGTAAGAAAACTTCCACATAGAGAAACAGCAATAGGTAAGTCCAACCTTGTACCCTAGACATTCTCCCAATTTAATAGGATTTTAAGGGGTTTTCAAAAGCCTTTCATCCCAGACACAAATAAAACGACTTTACTAAAGGTTTATGTTAACAATAAAATAGCAACAGAGGTTTTTTCAGGCATAATCGTTTTTTTTTTAATAAACTTTTAAGCTCAAAAGAGGTCAAAGGTCACATTTCGAACTTGTAAGCTTCAGCTAGTTATTATAGATATTAAATTACCGCCTGATGTTCGCATTGATAATTCGTCAGGTCGCTGGGATTATATAGGATTATCCTACGTTAATCCTTTGCTTGCTGTAGTGTGCTATGTTGTTTTAT